GCGTCGTCCTTAATACTGAGACACAATCTCTTAGTTGCACAGCTGTGCACACAGCAAGAGAAGGCTTCCCGACTTCTGCAATGCCACCAATGGTCGAAACTTCGGGAGCCCTCCACTACGGCGTCCCGCATAACCATAGCGGGACTACGATGGATGGATGGATGGATGGATGGATGGATCGGGCTGTACCCGTTAGATCCGGCGGCCAACACCTAGCCGTGATACTTAGTGAACTAACTAGATTTATCTTCTTTTTTTTTTCTTTAAATAGTGAAGTATAGGACTGGTACTTTGCAGTGAATGGTTTAATTTTCACTCGTGCCTTGACTTAAGCCACCAATCGATAACCTCCTTCTAGTTGATTCTACCTGCTTAAAGCCTATTTTGCCCTCCCTGTCTCAAACCCCAGTGCTTTGAAAAACTCTGCGCGATCATGCTGACTATAGGGAAGCCCTTTACAGAACATTATCAAGTGCTCGGCAGTTTCCTCCTCCTCTCCGCATGTACTACATACCGTGTCTACCCCTTCGTATTTGGTCCGATATTCTTGGTTCGCTATACTCCTGTCCTGGCCTCAAACACTAGAGCACCTTGAGTAGTATCATAGAACCTTTCCTTGGCCATTTTCTTCTTAAAGTACGATAGATCTCTAGTGTAGACTTCTTAATCATGCCAATTCTCCCCATGTCATCTCAGTTTTCCTCACCTTCTTCTTAACTGATATTCTTTTTGTTTGGCCCCCTACTGTTTTCTAAGTATTTACCCATCAATTTTCTGGTTCGCTTGCTTCATTTTCTATCGACATTCTTCATATACAAGTACCTGAAACCTTCCTAGCCCACCACTCCTCCCCCATTTCTCTCAAATCGCTTCTCAAATTTTCTTGCTGCTAGCTTCCCTGCCCTCAAATTATGTCCACCCATGTCACCTTGTGCCCCCTGATTTGGTGTATTCCCGTGAGCTCCTAAAGCGAGCCTACCTATTCCACGTTGCTTATTTCTAATCTTGCTTGAACTTCTGATCTCATGCACAAGACCGCATTTCCGAACGTCAGACCAGGAATAGTAATTCCACAGTGCCTATTTTTTATCACTGCTGCATTCCTGTTAGTCGTTACGTATATTTTGTTTCCCTTAGGTACTCGGTCCCATTGCTTATCCATATGCCCAGATATTTGTATTTATATGTTATTTCTAGCATGACCTGTATCCTAAGCTCACTACCTTCATTATCATTAGAATCATGACTGCTGATTTTTTCTTACTGAATCTGATATCTAACCTATCTCCCTCATTACCGCAGATGTTCATCAATCTTTGCGAATCGTAGTTGTTGTCGGCCATCAGCACTATATCATCTGCGTACATCATGCTGGTAGTGCCTGTTTAATGAGTTTTCCTTGTTTGACAGAAGAGAGGGTAAAGCCAAATCAACTTCCCTCTAATTTGGCCTCTAATCCTTGTAGGTACATCATGAACAGGGACACCCCAGTCTAAGCGCCCGTTTTACCTCTGTGGGCTTAAACATCTGTTTTTCCTTACCTTGTGACTTTTATAGATATCTTTTAAAAGATTACTGGCTCCATCTTCCACACCTAGTGTGTCCAGTATTTCCCACAAGTCCTCATCAACCACGCTATCGTACACTCCCTTGATATCCAAAATGCTAACCACAGGGGCCTGTTTTCCTTTTGCTATTTCGATGCACTGAGTCAGTGAGAAAAGATTGTCTTCCAACCTCCTATGTTTCAAAACCCATTCTGCAGCTTTCCCAGCACCCCCCCATCCTCTATCCATGCGTGCAGTCTTTCCTTTATAATCTGCATCGCCAGCCTGTGGACCACTGATGTCACTGTTCCAGGACGGTAGTGTTTTATGTCAGCTTTGTCCCACTTTCCTTTATAGATCATGCTCATCCTGCTAAGTTTCTATCCATCGGGGACTTCACCATCGATTATTGTTTTGCTCACTGCCTCTCTCAATGTTATATAGCCTATGTCTGACTTAGCTCGGCCCTTGTGCTTACGTCGAATTCTTCTCCCACGGACTCCGTGTGGCTTGAATATTTGTGCCCCTTTAGAACCGTCTTTGGCTACACTGTTGGCCTCAGGGCTCTGGGTCCCCCTAAAAAAGCTGTGGCTTGACGACCCATCCTATTACCAACCCTCCTGCCCGTCGCACCACTGTAGTGAATGCCATCCTGTGCAAAGGGGCGAGCGCCAGGCTCGTACACATCTTGGTTCACATCCATTACGCTGTATCTAAGTTGCCGGCTCATACCCTTGATCACACAGTTGGCCTCCACTACCCTCCTTTCAATACCACGATACTGCCCCCAGACCTCTGGGACTGTGCATATGGTCGCATGCACAATCCCAGAGGCTTCTCGGTGCTTGCGCATTCCATCCTCTAACTGTCTCTGAAGGTTCTGATCCTTGCCCTTCAACATATCATTGAGCCCAGCATGAACAATGACGAGATTTTCGCCCTCCATGCCGTCCTCTACAACCTCCTGAGCTTTGGACAGTGCATACATCATGCTCTTCTCTGACTGGGCCTCCACCTTCACTCTCCCATCTTCCTTCACTGTCGTGAGGACGCCATCCCTAACCCCAGCCACGTTTGAATTCCCACCACTAGGACCCTTCTACACTCCAATCGCTGGCTTCCTGTTTGTGATGGCGCCCCTGTTCGCTTAACCTGTTTCTCTCTCTGCCGCGTGTCCTGTGTTCCTTCCTTTGCTCGATGACTGCCGTGCCACCGAGCTGTTTGTTCTCGGAGCCTCCATGCTGTGGCCAGACACTGCGACCCCCTGACCTTTCTTACCGCCTGTCGCCTTCTTCGCTACCCACGCCTTCCGTCTTACGCCGCTCGGGGCCGTCCTTTAGCCGCTGCTCGAGGTCGGTCCGCCCTTCCCGTTCCTTTCGAAGGTCGCCCTTAATTTGCTCTAATAGGCTGGCGGTAACCTCCTCCCACTCACACGATGCTCCTAGCTGTTCTTAGAGTTCTATCCTCTGCTCCCGTTCCGCCTTAAGCTCCCCCTGAAGCCCGTCGATGCTAGCCTCCATGCGCTGCACGGCTGCCTTCAGTGCCTCGCACAGCATGCACACGAAGCTCGCCTTCTGCGCGTCGGCCAAACTCGAGAATTCCGTCTCGTCCCAAGTAGCACCAGCACTTGCATTCTTCGCACTGCACCAGCTCACTCTCGCCCGTGGTTTTCCTAGCTTCCTTAGTCATCTCCCGCCGACTATCGGACTGAGCACCCAACAGCCCTAAGTTCAGCCCTAATCCCGCTATCCAGCCGCCTCTGTTAACTCTCCTACCTCAACAACTGTTAGAAGCTGCCGCCTACACCGCACACACAGGTGCTTAATTTCGCTAGTAGCCTCTCACTACGCTAGTAGCCTCTCACTACGGGATGTGAAATGTACGCCCTTTAGCGCGCGACCTTTAGGTTTGTTCTTTGGTCATCCTTCCTAATGCAGGGCATTTCATAGTCACACCTAGTCGCAAATCCGGCGCCGGCAGTGTTGTCAACACCCCCATTGTGCATGCTCACGTCTCGTGCCAGCTGCTGCCCCCCCCCCCCCCGCGCCTCGCTAATCTGACGCAGGCAGCGTCTGCTTGTACAAAGTGACTGCTCACGCTGCACAACCGTTCACTGGCCACCACGTATCAGTAGGCACTGGGTCGCGCCTTCTGTATTAAGTCAAGGGCGTCTTTTCTTGGCTTTCGCTTGACTCTAGTAGATGCGATGGAAGCAACAGTACCTTCAACCAGTAGTGGGCGCAACCCAATGTCAGCATCCCACCACATGTTGAAGGCAACGCTTCTCCTTCATTCAATAAATAATAATTAAGACGAAAGAACAATTAAGCATACTCAAACCATACCCGATCACGCAACATTCACGTGATACCCCCCCCCCCCCCCCACTCGGCGATTGCATTTACTCAAGTTTCCACATTGGGAAGGTGGGGGCAGCTTTTTCTTCTAGGTTGTTTCATTTTGTTCGTTAGCTGTAGCACAAGAACGCATGCTTCATCATATAAAAACGCATGAAATTCAGCTAGTGGTTGTAGACATAGAAAAGCAAGAAGGCTGCCTCACTAATGTGATTTTCGCTCTTCTTCTTTTCCGACGTTTCGTAATTATGAATCTTTGTAAAAGCTCTATATTTGTATAGTTTTGCAAGTTCTGGCAGTTTCTCTGCTTCTGTGCCTGAAGCCATAGTGGCGCTGATGGCAGGAACTGAAGAACATGTATTGGTCATTGCTCAGTTTCGTCTTATTGTAGAATCCTACAAATATGGTCATAAACTATCGCTTGCAGTGAGATTCCTCATAAGGCTGATGATTGGATTCGCAACCAGATTTCGGCACACAAGAGCGCCAATGTTCTCTATATTTATGTTCATGTTGAAGAACGTCAGGCAGTCTAAGTCATGCGGAGTCCATTACAACGATGCATCTCGTGATTATGTTTGGGTTGTAACACGTAAATCTCAAAAAAAAATTTTTTTTTACTGTTATGAACATCTGACCACATTCAACTTGCCACGCTTAGTTGTTACCATGACTTTCACTGTTCAGAAAAATGCTTGGCAGGTTTGAAGACTGCATCACCACATGTGTTTGTTTTATGCGTGCCCTCTTTTCATACATATGGAGCTTCTATTTTAGCTTAAGTAACATGTTTCCCATTTTATGCATGCTCTATCAACTTTACTTGGCTCATAATGATAAAGATATTTCTCTAGTAAAGTAGAAAGCTGGCCAAAGTAGTTGATGCATAGATTTGAATCGGCGGGGAAAAATCACAGAAGAAACCTGTGCAGGAAGGCCGCATGACAAATCCTGTGTTCTTTCTACTCAAGTGTTTTCTATTATTTCGAGTGCCGATTCAAAAGTAAAGATGCTTTTCGATCTTGCCGCAGAATGAGCCTAACTTTGATCAGCATTTTCTTTGATGTCACCTCCATGCCTCTCTGTTCTACTGCAGTTTCTTCAACATGATTGCCAGAGAGATAATCCGCGACCTGGGGGAAGACCCTGACAAGGTTTGCAGACGCAAGGACCACGTTGTGCTCAAGCTGGAAAAACCGTGGCTACCGTCATTGTCCTCCTCGTCTGCATCTTCGACACCGAAACTCCCGCAGGGCCTGTCTCTCGAGCGACAAAGGCCACCTCATCACCACTACCGCCAACGCATTCGTCGAGAACCACGGGCTTCCTCAGTGACCACCGTGTGGTGGCTGCCCTGTTTTCCGGCTGTGCTTCGTTCGACGAGTGCCGGCCGTTGGGCGCAGCTGCGGGACTTGTACTGTACAACGTCAAGGACGCTCGTGGTCGTCCATAACCGCGACTTCGTCCGCACCCTGATCGATCTGTTCCGTTCTGTGGAAACGCTCGTCCTGCATCATGACCTGCGACTACAGATGCCGGGAGATGCCTGGCGTGACATTGGCGGGGCTCATCCGCAACTGAACCGGCTCATCGGTAGCACGCCAGCGTTGGGGTCGCGCAACTTGTTTTTAAGTGCGGCGACTATTTGTGGCCTGCTTGGCGATTGTCCCTACGTGAGTTTGCACATTTGCACATTGTCAATTTTTGAAAGGCACCTTCATTGCGATGCATCTGTAGCTTTTCAATTGCATCGAAAGGGGTACACTGGACAAGTGTAGCATTAACATTATCATGGGATTTCAGGTAGCACAAGTAAGTTAGCACATCTGTAAGAGTGTATATAAGGGTACATGTCTTTAGGTTCTAGTTAATGATGCATTCACCTGCAAGTGTGTAAAACTCACAGAACAATATTGCAAGGCACTTGTTACATTTCAGGAAAAAAAAGAAAGCAGGCAGTGCATTCTGTTGTGCAAGTTTCAATAATTGTAATTAGCATCTAATTAAGTACATCATGATTCTGCTGTCAGTCATGTTTCAGTAATGCATAAGAAGAATGAAATTTAAGTGAAATGTGCATTTGCAATTCATTTATAGTTGTGGAACATATCTCGAAACACAGCATATTGAATGACAAGTCGACTATTATTGAGCATTACGAAGCAAAATGCAGCATTACAAAGTGGGATGTTGCCCTTGTAGTGCCTACTTTGTAACGTGTGTCCTCTTTAACTTTTTATGTTCCAGTAGCTCTTGCATTATATTTTAATTATGCAAAACTAGTTCAATACCTCCCTTTGCCAAAGTTGGACATTGTAGTGACTTCACCAATATGTACAGCTGTGGTAATTATGACACGTTGAGGTCAAAAGAAGCATCAACTATGCAGGACGTCCTGTTCATCCTGCGCATAATGCATCTTCCTATTTTTTGACAAATAGTACAAATTATTGCGAAAGAACAAGTCGCGTCCACATGTGCACACTGCACTCTAAGAGAATATAAGAAAATAAAGGCGAATGCATTAGTGATCCATCAAGCAGCCTCTATGATAGCGATGAGGGTTTTCTGCATGCTGTGTGCCAGGAGTGTAGCCCAGGCTGGAATTTAGTAATCTCAAGTGTCATAACTATTGTAGTTATAATTTTTTGTATTTTCGTATTCACTCCTCCCTTCGGTCTGTGATTTGCAAGGCTACTACTTTAACGGTGGTGGCACTTGGATGACTGAGACATCTCTGCTGTAAAAGTCAGTTGTTCGTAACGCTTGCCCATGTTTTTTTTGTTTTTTTTGCTACAGCTGTGTGAGCTGCAGACATCTTTGCACGAGATCCTGAGCCCAGCCAATTCGCTGGCGAGCATGCTACTGGCGGCACGCCCCTCTCTGCACACGTCGTGGAGCCTCATACTTGGGGCAGACGTGGAGCGATACGACGGCAAAACTGGTGCCGTCTGGGACATAACGCCGGAGCACGTGTTCCAAACCAAGAAGTTCTTCCCCAGCTTGCGGCGCATGGAGGTGACACTTCCCATGATTTTCTTTCTTAAGGTTTCGTTACGTTATTTAGATGCTTCAGCATCAACTTCACAGTAGTGTAACATGATTTAGACTCCAACCAAAAGTTTGAAGAAGCCCGTCGACCCCTGAAGGCTTGGAAGTCGTCACGAGAGCGGAACAACGACTGATCAACGCCCGCCTTCATGAAATTAATGCCTCTCTACGGAAAAAAGAATTGGACCTTTTCTTCGCTAAGCGTCAACTTGAGCACCGCATCCCTGAGTTGATGTCTGAGGTCAAAGCGTTCGCGGGCTCCGTTGCGGCATCAACGGCAAAAAAGCACCGAACCACTCAGGATAGGAAACTCTTCTACCTGTTCCACCAGAGTTCCACCCAAAGCGTCCAAAATTCCTGGTTTGTCACCAATCTTTCATCTCGTCCACTCACTTATCGGGAAACTTCTGTCCTGGCAAAGGGACATGTCTATAACATGTCAACGACGCCCCGTCTACGGAAACTTGTCGCAGCTGTAGAGAAAGCCGTCCAAAGCATGAGGCCGGGCGCCAGAGAAGAAATTAGGCTTAACTCAATTGGGATCTTTTCAAAATTACAGTGTTAAACAGACACAGCTGAACAAGCTACTCGCTCGCGGACATTTTCAAGCATTACCTGGATCTCAGAACAGTTTACCTGCTACTAATCTGCCGTAACGGATCTGCACCGAGTTTTTATGGACTACCGAAAATTCACAAGCCTAACGTCCCCCTCCGACCGATTGTAGACTACTTCTTTACTTCCTCCCCATGCCGAGCCCTTTCAAATTTTCTACACCGAATCTTCGCCCCACTAACCCGGAAGACACCAACTCATGTCCGTGACTCCAGCCACTTCGTGCAGCTAGCGTCAGATGTGAGCATCGACCATGACGAGAGCATGGTCTTATTCGACGTCGTCATTGTTCACCAACGTGCCAGTTTCCTTAGCTGTCTCCGCTGCCCACTCTGCACTTGAGGAGGACGCGAGCCGTAGTGAAAGGACTTCTTTGGCGGTTGACAAGCTCTGCCGTCTACTAGAGTTCTGCCTGTCCAGTACGTACTTCTCCTACAAAGAAACTATTTTCAGGGGAACCGCTGTGGGAGCTTCCATCTACGTCACGATGGCAAACCTGATCATGGAGTACATAGACGAGAAAGCACCCAGCTCCTCGCCGTGACCTAGGCTTTTTCTGCGTTATATGGACGATTGCTTTTGCGACATTAGGACGTCTAAAGTTGAAAACTTCAGGCTACCCCTAAATTCCGTGCACCCAGCCATACAATTGACGAACGAGTGTGAAAGCGACCACTGCCTGCCCTTTCTCAACGTCCAGGTGGCAAGAAAGCGCAACGGCTTGGAGTTCTCCGTTCATAGGAAGCCAACGCACACTGGCCGCTACTTTCAATTTGATTCTTCTCACCCCGCCTGCCACAAGGCCTCAGTTGTGACCAGGCTACTCGAGAGAGCTAGGAACTTATGCTCCAATGACACAGAGCGAAAGAAAGAAGAGGCCCGCGTAATTGCGGACCTCAGGAAAAACGGATATCCAAAAAACTTCATTCGAGCCGCCAACCGCCACCCATAGCAACAGAGGATACAAAAACCCCAATCAACCTTAATGGGCAGCCCCCCGAAACGCGTATCGGTTTCATACGTTCAGGGAACCAGCGAGATGTTTGTGCGGATCTTCAAGAAGGAAGGGGTTCGTATTGCGCACGTGCCTTCGTGTACACTGGGCCGCCTCCTCCTCTGGAATGGCCAACAATAGACAGGACCCCCGTTATCATTTTTCGAAATTCCGTGCGCCGTGTGCCCCTCTTAGTATATCGGAGAGACAAAAAACCGGAACGACTGAAGCAACACGCCAACTATGTGCGGAAGTTCTACAGAGAGCGCAGCGCAGTCGCCGAACATGCCAAGACGTTGGATCACCATATAAATTTCGAAGCGACGGCCATCCTTGAAAGCCAGCCGAGCTGGAGGGGAAGGTTTGGTACTCGAGTTGTGGCACATACAGAGGACAGCCCGTAACATCAACCGCTCTCTCGGAACCCTTGCCCCAGTGTATACACACGGACTGTGCTCCACGGCAAAACAAGAGAGAAAGGGGGGGGGGGTCATTATCCACCCCGCAAGTGCTTTGAAGACACCGCTGCTACGTAGCCTCTGCAGTCACCCCTGAAAAAGGAACCAAGTCTGTTTTGAAACGTCGGGTTTTCTGCAAAACTTTTGGTTGGAGTCTAAATCATCTCCCAGTTTCATACCCAACCAGACAGACTTCTGTCGTATGTTTACATTCTAGTGTAGCAGTGTTTATATTTGAACTTGTTTGTTCACCTGTTCGATATTCACATCATTTATGCTAAGTTACAACTTCAAGAAAAAAAAATGGCAGCATATCCACGGAGTGAATGATGGAGAGTGGGGCGAAGAATTCGTCCGTCCATTCGTTCTTGTTTCCGTCCGTCCATGCGTCCGTCAGTGTGACCGTCTATGCGTCCATCAGCCCGTCCGTGCATGCGTCTGTTCGTGCGTCCGTCCCTGCGTTCGTCCATGCAGCCGCCCCTGCGTCCGTTCATGCGTCCATCCATGCATCTGTCTATGTGTCCTTTCGTCCATCTATTCAACACTCTAAGTACCACCATCTCGCATCTTTTCATCATACATTCCCCATATAGAAGCACCGCCATCCAGCGGACATTGCAAGGAATAAACGAGAGGTGGCACACGCACACTTTCTTAGGGCTTGCGCTTCGGGTCACTCCACCTTTACACCTGCAAACTTTTTCAGTCAGATAGTGCTCAATGTACATGCCAATGGCTGCTAATGGGAAATGAGAGGCGGAGAATTCGGCTTTTACTTTCTTACGGTTTGCGCTTCGTATGTACTTCCCATTTTTAACCACCTCGAGTTCATTCATGGTATATACAAGTTCATTGTATTCATGGCACTGCAGCTCAACGCTCGCTAAACCTTTCTAAAGCTAAGGAGGTTACACCCAGCGAGTATAACATAGCAACACTTGTCAGATAGTGCTCAATGTACATGCCAATGGCTGCTAATGGTGATCGCAGCCTGCACGTTAACTAAAGCCGAATGCTCCTGTCTCTCATTCCCCATTAGCAGCCATTGACATGTACATTGAGCACTATTTTTTATTGTTCAACAACGCACAGAAGTAGTCTCTCACTGGCACTACCTTGGAGGTCAAAATGTTATACATGTTACATACTACGGGGGACGAACGGGTGCCGCTATAAGGAGCTTCGCCCCTAAAATGTCAGCTTCGTCCACAGCCATTACAATACCTCCACAGCACGATTGCTGCTTCTTACAGCGCTTACTGATTTTCGTGATGTCAAGCGCTCCTTGAGTGTTACAGATTCTTGAATTTGCCATACAGAAACTCATTGGTAGTGATTGTTGTAAGTAAAAAGCTTGACTGTGCTTGTAAATTACATCACAGATTCTGACATCGCTGCTTAGGCAAACATAAGGCTTTAGGTAGTAAAAACAAACCTTTAACTCTTAATATGCATAGTAGTTAAATTAACCAAGAAAATGTACTGATGGTTGAAGCAGAAACCAGCCAACACAACTGTCTTTCACTGGTGAAGCGCAGTCACCCTGCAGTTGTATGGGCAGAGCTTTCATTTTTCTTCAAGTTGTTACTGACTGTAAAAAGCACGATGTGATGCCAGCATGCAGTGCTCTTCCCACTTCTCTGTCTGTGCAAATTTTGTTGTACTTTGAACCAAAGGTAACGTCTTTCACCTGTTGTCACCAAAAAAGCTCTCGGCAATGCTGCCATTAGTTGTGCACAAGGACAATACTGGTTCATTCTTAAAAGTAGCCCTTGTGGGTAGAGTTAGTGAAATGTGACTTTAAAGTTAGGTATGCAAATTAGAAGGCAAACGAAAGAAAAAATGACATGCGCTTGTCCTGTGTCCCTTCGTTTTTTCGGTTTGTCATAATTTCCAAATCTCACTTTAGAGTCACTACTGCTTTGAATATCAGATTAAGATATATAGTGCCGTACAACTCATGCTTGGCTTATGTGAGAATGGCTCTGTTAAAGCACTTACGACACTTTCTTTAGAAGAAGAGGGCTTCACTTAGTACATTTCTTAAACATTGTATTTCTGGCATGATGTTTGAAACGTGAGAAAAGGACAAAGAGACCGAGGTACGCCATCTTTATCTTTTCTGTCCTTTCTTCGTGTGTCAAGCATTGCACCTAGAATAACATGTTTACCGAACATAGTGATCAACTTGTAACAAGTTCGACTTGGTACGTTTGTTACTCGCAGGTTACTACAACTCACAGTCAGACTATTGCTGCAATCGGGGTCTTTGACCAGCTCACCGACCTCTCACTGATGTTTATCGCACAAGGCACGCTGTGCTCGTTCCAAGGGCCTGTCGAGGACACACTCAAAAACCTCCCACTGAAGCACCTGTCACTCAAGTTCTTCAAGGATGTCAGTCTTGCCGCTGTCGCCAAGCACTGGCCAAGCCTGGAGACCCTGTCGCTGCCCGAATGCTCAGTCATCGAGAATGACGCCGACGACCTCATTCCCGGATCGTTCGCAGGACTGGTAAATCTGCGACTGGGAGCGGGCATTGCGATTCCCACATTCAAATCGCTGCTCGGGGCGACAAGGCGGCTCATTTCGCTCTGCCTCGATGCGGACCTTCTTGTGACATCATTTGTCAGCCACTGTTCACATGGCTCGCTGCCGCGGCTTGAACGCCTAGTGCTCCGCACCGAGCACACACTGAAGGTGCTCTGATCTGACAGTAAAAGCTTTGCAGTTCCTGGTCGAAGCCCTGCCTGCACTTCGATACGTGGTTACCGACAGCTATGACCTCCGGTTATTCTTTGAGAACATTATGCCACACGTGACGCTCGACTGGACCCAGTGCACGACATGCCCCGCCGAGTTCCCACGCATCGACGAGACTCAGAGGGAATTTCTGGCAGAATGCGATGACTCCAATCAAGGGAGGGAATGAATGGTGGCATCAAGTTGGCATGCTTGACCGGAAATGATGTGGAGCAGTAATCTTGGTGTCCTGATAATGCACGTATCTTCCTGGTCATCATGTGCTCCAGCCCTGGACATTTTGTTAGATATGTCTGATTGGTCAATACGACTGATCATGGGAGACATGTCTTTCTTTTCTCCTGTGTCTTTGCACTGCCAATTTCGAAACCAGTATAATGAATGAATCGCTGAGAAAAATAATAAAACATGCAAACGGAATCTCAGCTTGTTATATTTATTACTGTTTTGAATAGTCTCGAGATGCTATTGACTAATCGACCCTTGTTTAGCGTTTGCCTCGGTGGACCAGTCGATACAAGGTGCTCCGCTGCTGACCCGAATACCGCGGGTTCGATTGTGACTGCGGCGGTCACATCTAGATGGATGCAAAAGTATATGCCCATGTACTGTGCAATGTCAGTGCACGTTAAAGAACACCAGTTGGACAAAATTTGCGGAGACCTGTACTACAGCGTCTCTTATATTCATAATGTGGTTTTTTTTTACGTAAAACCACACATACTACCAATGCTACTACTACCACTACTACCCATTTTGCTTGCGTTCTTCTCGTCGTTCCTGCATCGTGCCTTCGCCAACCTTGATAACGCTTAGCTTGTGTTTGGTGCGTCGTCTCTGACGGCAACTTTAGCGGAGCGTTGTGGTGTATCGCGGTCAGAATACACGATCTTTGCGAGCCTCTGCTAAAGTACATGCACTGATTGATCCATTCCACAGGAACTGGAACTACACAACAGAGAACGCCGAAACGACACAACATCGATGTCGTACGCGCACGAGTAGGCTGGGGCACGTCATGCGTACGTGACCTTGCTTATGCATGTTGTTCTTGGTGTGTATGTGTCATGTGATTCTCCAGCCCGATACCGAAGAAAACAGGGAAGGAATAAGGCTCACGATGGCTGCATGGGACGAGAGGCAAGGAATTTAAGTTTGCATCTTCGCATCATGCTTTGGTGGCTCGTAGCGAACCAATTTGAACAATCACCTTGGTAGAATGTTTTTCATTGGGCACGCAAGAACTTATAGTGTCTAACTACAACCTATTATGTCATCTAGAGAGAGACACTTGAAAAGTAAATTACAAACAAAACAAAAGCCGCATGCACATCACATTTTTTACCTGAAGGCGCTGCAGCAGATGGGTTACGGTGCCAAAGAAAACACTGCCTTCATTGACACAACACACTTTGTTCTCTTTATAAGCCATTTCATTCTGTCACGACATTTTAAAATTTTAATTACCATTGAGCGAAGAGGACTGTTTAGGTACATTCGCTTTTCGAATGTGAGTTTAGCATGAAATCCTTGACATAGAAGTTTTAAGTGCAGTCTAATTAGACGCGATGATAGTAATTCCCATTCAACTTAATTTTTTATATTGCTTATAGTTTCTTATATTGCTTAATTTTTAATGCTTTTATAATATATATATATTTGAGTAATGGCTTAGGACAGACCTTGAAGTGCTGTTCTGTAGTTTTTCATGTTTGTCACTTAAGGACATATAATAAGGGATCTCATAGAGAACAAGCATATTCAAGCTTATGGTGAATTTATGCTAAATACACCATTGATTGTAAACATGCCAGCGCCTGTCTCAGGCTTCGCTGTATAAAGTGTAACAATTTGGCGAACTTCGCCCCCATTTAATCAAGAGCATTCTATGAGTGGTCCTCCATGGTTTTTCATTTGTTCTCCAGCTACCCGCGGCTGCCCAGAAAAACCTGCTCTTCCTTTATCACCGCAACACCCAGGTTTTTAGGGGGTTCTTCAGTTCCTTCAGGGCACATGACAGCTTTTTGAAGAAGGTGGTCGCCACGTCCTCGGCCATAGACCTCACTTTTATTTTCTCACCACATCCTTAATTCTCTCTCCTCCTTCCCCTGTAGACACCGAGACGATCTTCCACCTAGGGATGCTGAAATAGCGTCTTTTGCACTCCTCATGCTCCTCCTCCAATCCTTCGCAGCATGTCAGCTTTGTCTTTGTTGAACCTTATAGTGTTTAGAAATATCAATGTTGCCTTTTTTACATGAATAACAGCTTCACACCATGCTCGAAAACAAAACTTGGGCTTGAATAGCGCTCATATATGCGCTCATTTGGAGAATAGGTATTTATAGGCACTTATAAGCATTTATGCACAAACATCCAAAATAGGCATTATAGGCCCTTATAAGCATTTATGCACAAATATCCAAAAAGGCATTTATAGGTACTATGAAAACACCATAAAAGCCCATCTGAACCTATAATTCAGGCTCATATATAAAAATGGCACGATGGAAACGCAAGGAACAAAACAGGCATTTGCCTATAAATCCGGTCTCTCCTGCGAGGTTCTGACCATGGTAGACTCGGAACTGGTAGCAGGATGCAGTGTAAAATTCAGCGCTGCATTGCACACTACGAAATGGCGGGACGTGTGCTTAGATGTAGGTTGCGATATGTCTAAAGCTTTCAGATTCAGCTTTATTGAGCATTTTATTTACAAAATAGCGGAAAGAAAATGCAAGGATAGGAGCAAAAAGCTGCTATGTTAGCAGCTTGACGAGGCTCCTACCCCTTGTACACCGCATCAGAGAACCACAAAACACAAATACGAAAACAATTGGACATCGATTTTCAAACTTCAGGAAATAAATAATACCAATTAGCACATTACATCAGAGTTTCAGGTTTACCTAGAAATCGGCAGGGCACATACACACACAAAAAAAATGAAACAGCACTCTGGCAATCATCAAAACAATGCGTGTTGCTCAACGACTTAAAACACAGTATGAATTATAAAAAACTATGTACAACTTCTAAGTATACAAAAAAATACGAGTTCGGAAGAAATACAATAGAAAACACTGATAAATGAAATGTTGCATGTTCTACTGGAAAAGAAAAAAAAAGAACATTTACATAAGCAACAACGTAGAAAACCATGATCCTCCCTCCATGTTGCGCTCCAGTCACCCATATAGCCGCTTAAAACCGACTTGGCTTGAAGTGTAATAATAGGTAGCGGTAGAAAGGTTTAGCTTAAAGATCTTCTTCGACGGTTCAAGTTGTGCAGTTTCTCACTAGCTTGCTAGAAACACTATGGTGGTTACAGCTGTATAGTAACAGTATGCCGTGTTTGTTTTTTTCTCCGTGGTGGGTGTTGGTTGTGACCATGAGCTGTTTGCAATAGCGAGAACCGCCTCTGCCCGAGGGAACGTAGTCGCGTTGCATAAGAGAGTGGTATAGAAAGTGATTCAAGTGCAAGTTGCTGCCGCTTTTGGTAGTTACTGTGAAGTCGCAGTGTTTAAACACTGATGGGCGAATAGAACTTCACCGCTGTTCTCAGTAGATAACACCAAATATCTCTGTTTGCCGCCAAATCTGTAAGCAATAATAACGAGCCGTACGAGCGCGAATTAAAGGCGATATTTGTGAATACCTGTTTCATGCACAACTGTAGTATTGCGGCGTACGTGGACGTGTGCTGTTTGTGTTGCTGAGGGTCGATCGGTATCGGTTGGACTGTCATTTGGGTGAATTACTTTGAAGCTTCCTTTTGCGTAATTGTGCGAGGTAGATACGGTATGTGCAAGGTGGAGGCGACGGGATATTATCAGGCGTCCACCCGACGCCATCGTCCTATGTTGTCGCCGATGATGGCAATCGGTCTTCTAAGCAGTGTCTGTTTAGGTAGGTGTATACAAATAAAAAAAGAAAAGGAAAATTCATTGCTGGGAGCATTGTCTAGCTTAAATGTCCGACCCCTTAACGTATTTTCTAAAATTGGTCAACATTGCTGCAACGCAGGCGTGTTATGCGGCGAAGTGCATGCAGTGTAGTGAGGTAATGCACAACACGTGCGTGTGTGCAAAATGGAAATTAAGTACGTTCATTAGTCCTTGAGTGTGCCTTAATTATACATGCACCATCTTCTGTCTCATTAATGGTGATACAGTGGATAGCATCGCCGTGGCTTCAGCCTTTGCAACGATTCCATGTGAATTTACCCTGGAAAATTATCTTGCGACAAGCAGTTTGCAAAAAAATGAACTTCTAGTTTATTGCAAAATCGATTCGAGATTGTGGCATGGCATCTCTCGAAAAGAGCTTAATGTCTAAGCCGACTCTAATGGTACTCCACATTGCTTGCCAATGCATATATGCTCCAAATAGAAAATGATTATTAAGCAAATATGCACTCGAGCTAAGTATGTGTGATGACCATCCATGTTACATAAATATTATTTCAAAAGTAGGAATTCGTGGTTTGCTTTATGAAGTTCTTTCCAGTAATCAAAAGAAATACCCACTGAAGAATGGTTAAAAATTAAACGTGCAGTTTGTAAATGAAACAATAAGCTGACCTTTGCAAAAAAAAAAAATTGATTTCTGAGAAGCCCGCTCTGCCAGAACTAAGAACAAGAGGGTTTCAGCAAACTCATGGCAACCCAAGATGATGGTACATGTTCAAGCATCTTACAGAGGCTGCTTGTGGGTTAGATGGGGTGGTAATTAGGCAAGTGGCTGTCATCAGGTGTCGAGATGCATTGCATTCCCAGTCATCAAAAGTCTTAAAAAGATGGCTATAAAGTTGTCAAGCTCGAACTTTATTGACAGGATGGGCACTTAATAAAGCCAGTGCTTATTAAAGCCTCTATTTAATTAAGTTAACCCTAAGGCTAGTAGATATCTTAAATGAGCTGGTCACTTTTCGTAACATATCTCATAGGTGAATAATTACTGGGTTCGCAGCAAGCCATGAATGAGGTAGGATTTTATGAATTGAGGAATAAGAAGCAATGAAGTTATCAAAATACTTTGTTTATAATGCATAGAGAGTAATGCCAAATGAGGCTTCCAGGAGGGTGAATTCCATTATGAAGCTGACACTTTTGGTGCCATCATTGCAGTTTATATTCACTGGTTTTATGCACTGTGTATGTAGTATCACTGATGACAACCCAGTTTTTTCAAGCTGAACTTCCTGAATTAAAAAAAAAAGATAACATCAATTGAGCTACATGCTTTTTTATTGTTCAATAAGGCACACCACAAAGGCCATTTGGGGCTCATTAGCGGACTGCATAGGTGAGGTCTTTGTACAGGATATGTCATGGTAATCTTTCAGTCTCTAGCTTTGTTTTTGTAATACATGAAGCCTCTTTTCTTATAACAATTTTTATTGGGCAAACAAGCTCCAGCACCA